GATCGTGTAATCCTCACAAACTGTATGCGATGCAAATAGTGTGTCGCTGTCCCTCTAGTAGGGGTCTACGGTGGGACACTCATTGATGTACTGCATCCCCTCGCCCCTCGCCATAACCTGAACCCTAAGGGCAGAGATGCATCAAGCTGACATGAAAGAACTAACACCGACAAAGGCTGACCGCTGTGTCACCTTTGTCTTTGCGATGTGAGGCAACAGAGACGACTAGCAGGCCGACGAGGCCTTATCGCCAACACCAATCCAACATATCAAATCAAATGAAAAAGCCACGGACAGGGTCCGACTAGTGCCAGTGGTGTAGGGCGCCCTGGGAGGACAAGCCCCAGCAGATGCTCTGATGTCTGTTTAGTTTGTCATTGACCTAAGACAAAGGCTGAACCCTTTGAAGGTGTGAGGACCAGGCAACACATCCTCACATTGAAGGATATGAAGTAAAAATTCAAACATACACACACAGAAGGATGTGTATACACACTACACACGCACAGAGTCATTAGTGACTATGAGCCTAATGAGAGTGTGTGTGTGTGTTGTATGTGGCAGGAGGCCCAGACCAGGCTGATTGAAGAGATGCTGCACAACAGAAATTGACTGTGTGTGTGAGTTCATTACATCCACAGTTGTCGATGTTAACTGTCCGGTGTGGGATGAAAAATCTTTCTCCTGAAGGTCGACGTTCCAGGAACCCAGTGTGTCATTATTATGAAGTCAAGCATAATCATTCAGTCTGAACAGTTTAGTCACAGGTCGTTGTCATTTTTCTCCAAAAATGAGCATGCGACTGACATTTTCAAGTTTTTCAGTTTGTTCACAACTCTGCTCATTTATAATGCAACTTCAGGTTGCGAGGAACAATTGATGCAAAACTATCATGTTATTAAAGATTTCGATAAAAAAATGTTTAGTGTGAAGGTTGAGCTGGAGACTGTGGAAGAAAGCTACACAGAAACATGCTAATAAGTCAACCTAGAGTTTTATTGGTTCATTTGGAAATAGATAAACTTAGTAAATTTGCTTAATTTACATAATAATGAATCAGATAATAGGTTAAAATAATTTTGGACTAGTAGAAAGATTCAAAGCATTAAGACATTTTAATCAATGGAAATATTTGTTGATTCCAGGTTCTTGTTTATCTTTCTGTAGTTTCATAGTCCCTTCATTTAAGTCATTTGTGTTGTTGTTATACTGCACTGGATCTGGGATTTTATTTTAATTTTGGATTAATCTGTTGATCATTTTCTGAATGTTTTGTTGTGTAAAATTAAGCTCAAGCTGTGTTTCCTGTTAAAATAAGCAAGACCAGCAATACTAGCTGCTGAAAAAGGTCCTAATTATCAGTGTCTCACTGTATTTCATTAATATATTTGTATATCTCACTAGATTAATTTACTTATTATGACTGCAGAAATCAACTATAATACTGTTTAATTTGGGTATAAAATGATTCTAAATAAGTATCAATTTACACTGATGTTTTTGTTCACTTAAAATAATGAATAAAAACAGGCATATTTAATTTATGACGTGGGCTTTCTGTATAAGCAGAAAATACTGTACTCTCAGTGAAGATTACTTTGACAGAAAATATTTTTGGAGCTTTCTGAGATGTCGGAGGTTCCTCCACCCCGGATTGAGTTTGCTCAAAAGCTATAAAAATTTGGTAATTTTCAACAAAATCAAGTTTTAAAATTGTCATTGATTAAAATGCATTTATTCATTATTCATCACAGGCAGGTCTGGTCCTCTGTAATTTGCACCTCGATTATATTTTTCCCTGAAATGAGCTCACTCGCCGTGAGCTCCTGGCTGAGCTGGTTGAAGTTCGGCTAAGGGTTTGGTTTGGTTCGGTCACGGAGGAAGTGGGAAAGAAATGAAAAGTTTCCCTCTAAACTCCAGAACTCTTTACTTTCCCAAACACTATTTCCGACTGCAGCCTGAGATTCCTGCATGTAATCCTCTGCTGGTAGATTCACTCTCCACTTCTAGGGATGGAGCTGGTGATCATATGCATTTTAAGACCCGAGAGTGTGGATTGTCTGCATATATGAGAAATAGCAGAGGGACTTCTAACATTCTGTTCTTGAGATGGATTCTGTCTGTGGAATTTAAGTTGTATGAACTGATTATAGTAAGAATCCCAGTTCCTCATTAATATTAGATAAGCAGCCGGGGGTTCCTGCATGATGCAAACTGTACTTTTGGAGATTTTCCAAGTTTATTTCTAGCCTGATCTGATTCTGAACTTTTGGGGTTGTTGGCTGAATGAGGTCAGACAACTGAAATGACTATATTTCATATAATGTAGCCTGGAGTTAACATGAGCCGACATCCAGTTCAGATGATGATTTGCAACAGATGAAGCAAAGAAAGAAGTCAGGTCAGTGATTTACAAATCATGTAAGTACTTTGCATCTGCATCTTCCAGTTCTTCACTGAAGCTTTACGATGTTTATAGTGAATTAACTATTCGTATCCAAGTCCCAGACGTTTCACGGCTTCCCCTTTCAAATGAAACCTATTCTACTGCAAACATTTCAACACATTTCCCCAAATTTCACTCTGACAGATTTGGCAGATGTGGAGATTTTGGGATGTCCACTGGAATCTAAAATAAGGCTTTGTGCACCACAGAAACTGTCTCACTATATTTGAGTCCTAAAAAAATAAGTGACAGAATCTGCCAGTGACTATTTCAGCCTTCTTCTGACAAAAACGTTTTTCTTCCTTTTTTATAAATCAGTCTTAGCCTTGCAACAGGCAGGAGTATGTAGGGTGTTGTGCTAGAATTAAGGAAAATGAAAGCTGATTTAAAAAATTGAAAACAAGCTGACTGCACTGGGAGTACATTGAACTTGCATACAGATGACTTGATTAAGGAAGAATTTTAGTGTGGGTGACATGGTGATGGATGCATGGTTTGAAAAGAAAGATCAACCATTAACATCTATCAATTGTATGCAGAATGTGCACAATGTATTGTTGTGTTTGTGTGTGTTACTTGCATCTATATGTTTCCCCTACAGTTTGGGTGGCCGTTCTTTATCTGAAGTCCCCTCCAGGTTTCAGAAGTTATCTTGATCTTGAGCTTCCTTTAGTTATTCAGTACAACAGGGGGAGTCAACAGAAACTTGCTGCTGCTTACCTGAGCCTATTTCCAGCAGCCACTCTCGCTCAGGTGGAGCTGATTTGTGTTGAAGCCACAGTGCAAATGCAGTAGGGCTGCAGGGTGAAGCACAGAGTTCTGTCTACATGCCAGAAAAACACCAGCGTCCACCTGCTCAGACAGAAACCAGTGTGCTACATGGACAGCCAGACAGTCTCAGGTTGTTTGCACAGTTGCTGCTATCTGTAGTGATCTTGTGGAAGACGTGGTTGAGGCAGGTTTTTGATAGGGAGATGATCTGGCTTCCCGCCGGGGCTCTCGTTTTATAAACATCTCAGCTGTCAGATATTCTGGGTCGAAGGCTTCAGCAAACAGCACTGAGCCTCTGTTGCACACAGTTGATTTAGCAGCACATGAAATGAGATGTCTGCTGCTGGAAATACAGCACTTACATTTTACACCTTTTTACATGATATTAAAGTCCAATAAAGTTCACAGAGGGTGAGATTTTAGTGGTAGTCCCGCTCTGAGATTTCCAACATTGTTTTTTATAGTTCTTAAGGACTGCTTGAAAAACGGTTGCTCCCAGGAAGCCGCTGCACATTCAGCACTGGCTAGTTCATGCTGCATGAATGCATGTACAGTAGGGTCACTTAGATGGAATAGATGTTTGTTCTCTACTTCAGTTATTAATTCACTAATTGCTACACTATTCTTGCTCAGCATTAGCATGTCTGTCCTGTTTCCTCAGCTACTAATTTCACACCCAGTCACAGCTTGGTGGCACAGGAGAACAGGTCATCTTTAACAGACTTTTGGAAACGGTTGTCCGATCAGTCATCAGTGGAAGGTTGTCTGATATAACATTTGGGCAAGCATAAATTAAATTTAACCCATTCTGGCAGGAGTCGCTTTGACGTTACAGTTCAGCTGCTGCTAAAATAGGTTTGTGCATGAAAGTCTGCCTTCTTTATCCATTTGTTTTTGGCGGTGTTGGTGCAGACGCTGTCCCTTTGGGTAAATCCTGAGTGTAGAGTCAGAGCTCGAGGCACAGTTGTCATCATGATGCAACTTGCAGCAGCATTAACAACAGAGAGATCACTGTGGTGATGAGGGCCTGTTTTTTTCCTCTCCGCGACCACTTAGGTTTTGAAGGACTGGAGTGGAGCCTCGGCTCGCTGGTCACTGGTTTGTCCTGGAGGATTATGGCTCTAATTTACAGGGGCTGGCAGAACACCTTAGGGAGGGTTTCTTTTTTCTTTGAAGTGCTTTATATTAGGGTCATAAATAACCATAAGGCTGATTGATTCAAGAGCAGGAGGCCTGGTCTCTTTGAGCGCGTGTATCTGAATGCATGGAAATGAATTGGATGAGTTTATGATAAGTATGCATATGAATGTGTGTGTGTGTGACTGTGAATGTTTGATCTTGATTTAAAACGGGCTGCTGAAATCATTGTGGCAGAACAGTGGACGCTCCTATCTCAACTCTTTGATCTCCTTTTAATTAATTTAAGAAAACAACATGAGTTTATTAGGTATCATCAGGGGTCATGGGAAGCTCAGAGCAGCTCGTCGTCCCCAGACTCGTTGGTTCTGGTTCTCACAGCAAAAACAATTAAACATGAAGCAAAGTGGGTCGGTAACAGGCACAGCAAACAAAAGGTGTCATCTAGAAAAGATTTTTAAAAGCATGTATTTCAGATAAAATGTTCATTATATGAAATTTCAATCAGATATTTGTTTGGTTTTACAAGGATTTTTATGAACGTGCCAGTAAATTTCGATCAGGCTCCATGGCCTGTGTAGTCTCACCCATTGTACTGTACAGGGCCAAACTCAGATGATCAAAGCAGCAACATGGTGCAGCTCAAGTGTTGTTTTTCCTTCCAGTACCAAAATACTCTGCAGTAATGGACTTTGAAGCAGGCTGTCTATCATTCCTAACCTTGGAGCCGATTTAGTTTTTTATTGCACTATCCTTCTCTTGCAGCTAAAAGCAGAAATATAAAAGAGAGAGAGTAGAGTGGAGTTTGCTGCCTGCTTTCATTTGAAAACCTAAAGTTCAGGATTTAGTGACATCTACAAACCAGACATGTCGGTGTCGGCCTCCTTTATTCACTCTCAGCCCTGTCTGTCTTCGGGTTTCATCAGCACACTTTGATGAATGTTTGTGTTGTTGGAAGCCTGCTGGATATGGGGATTACTGCTCATTTTGTGGAGCTCACCTTCAAGAGTTGGAGCCTTGTAATCATATAACAGCGGCTCCACCCAGTCGGTGCACTACAAGGGCATGGCGGCCTTCAGCTTTCATGCTCTGTACTGAGGACCAGCTCATCCATGCGATGTAAAGATCAATGAACCCGCCAAGGCCAGAGTGTGAGGAATCGATTGTGTAAGTGGAAGATTTTCCACACATGTTGATATCGGGCCGTCTGTTGGTAACAACCGGCCGAGCTGAGCATGAGCTTCCTGTTACTGTTTGCTGCAGATTTCCATCTCAAGGCTAAGTAATGTTATTTCCTGCCAACAAGGAACAGGATCGTTATAGCTATATTGGAGCAGCTGTCACTCAAAAGCAAGGTGAAGATAATGATATTGGTGAGAACAGGAATGAGGACTGAGCTTCACCAAAACCTTCTAATTGGACGGTTCACTCTGGTCAACCAGCAGCAGCACAGAGGAACTTCTGGTTTAGGTTTTAATGAGTTTTTATGATTCTTCATGGCACATTCAGGAGCCCTTCTGGGAGCATGTTGATCGAGTCAGTCTCTTAACCAGCACGTTGTTCAGGAAACAGTGCTGCTGGACCCACTGTGCTGATGAAATCCTATTCCAGGAGCAAGATATCTGTGTGTTTGCTTGTCTTTTTAACTCTGCTGAAGCCACCTGTCAATCATTCTTTACAACCTTGTGACAAGCTTTCAGGCTGAATTCTGGGGTAATTTTGGTTGGAACAATTGTTTGGAAATATTACTCAGCGTAAACAATAAATATTTTTACTGTTCAGCTAAAATGTTTTACTCTTCAAATTTAAAAACACATTGTAAGAGAATTTAAGGATGAAATCAAGATTCAGAAATGGAGTTAATTGTTCATGGGTCAAATTATCTGATAAAACTGGGAAACATTAGTTTGAAAAACTGTTAATTTGTAATTTATCAAATCTTTAACCTGAACTTCAACTTATTCTAAGGCCCAGTCCCTCTTCAGTTTTTCTACTCCTGCCCCTCATTTTCGAGTTAATCCTCAAAACAGAGTTACAAGGAGCAGAGGTTGAAACATTCCCCTGTGTGATGGGACAACCCTTCACGCCCTGTGCAGCATCATGATGAGCTGTTGTCAGAAATGCTGAATCACACAATGCCATTTCTTTTGTATGATCTATGAGCATGGGTTTGTGATTTTTCAAATGCAAATAACAAAAATGCAAGGATAGGAATATATTTTTGACACCAGGGTTGGCAGATTTGTTTGAGGTGTGTAGCATCAACTGCGGATAACTTTTGTTGTAGTAAGTCTCAGACCACATGGTTTTGAGTCACGCCTCTGAAAATCCAACCGCTTCACCGCCACCCCTAGCACTACATATAGACACACAAAATGAAGGGAGAGGGCTAAGTGGCAGGGGCATGGGGGTGGATAGAGAACGTTAAGTGGTCATCACCCCGTGTTGATTTTTGGGTAAATGAGCCATTTTGGTGCTGTGTTCTTAGGGAGTCACTATCAGTCCTGAATTTAGACCTGTCCCAGAACAGAAGTGAAAAACCTGCTGAGGGTCACATGGAAAGTGTTCCAGGACATGTGGGAATGTTTTGCTAAAGTGATTCCTGCAAACAGCTCTGCACACAAATGCCAGTTAAAGGCTTAACCCGGTTTATTCACCATGTTTTAAGAAGGCACTGCTCTCCTGACAACTCTAACCTTGTGTGAGCCAGACAGTGTCATTGCTGCTGTGACTCTTTTATTTGTGCTTCATTTCTTTTTTTTTTTTCCTCTCCATTCACCTTTTCCATGATGATTTCTCGCTTCCTTCAGAACATAAGTGTGCAGGTCAATTGAAATCCTTTTTCAGCACAAAACAATCAACTTCAGCTGAAGAGCCTGTGGCCCAGAGATTTTAGTGAATGTGTTTCATCAAATGCATGTGTTGGAGGTCATCCGACTAATTACCTGACTGCAGATAATGTGAGCCTCCCAGATGGGGGCTGGGACCCTTCACCTGCAGCAGCGTACCTGTAAACAGACTAATGTAGTGGGACAGGAAGGAAAAGC